TACATAATTGATTCTGTTATTTTCTTGTTTATTACTGTGAAGCTGCTTTGAAAAAAAAAACTGTTTTGTATAAAGCACTATCAAAATAAAGGTGTCAAGACTTAAAACACACAAATTTATGGCTCTAGGTTGACTTTTAGATGTTCTGCATTACTTTGAATGACAATTGATTGTCAAAACACATCTTCTTAGCTCAAAATACAATTTCATGACTCAAAAAGTCGCGTGTTCCACTTGAATGGTATGTTCTCCTCTTAAAGAACAGTGCATTGAGTCATAAACCTTCTCCCTCTTCTCGTCTGCAACAGATACATTTTCCTCTCAAACTCCCCCTCAATTACACAAATCAATACACATTTCTTTTATCTTTTCGTGCCTTTTTTTTTCTCCTCCCGTTCTCTCAGCTGAAGGTGACCCCTGGGCTGGAACGTGTCCTCCATTTCGGCAGAATCGGTATAAGTGCTGGCCATTTGGCGTGGACGTTAAGTGTATGAAATGAGTGGCCCTGTCTCTCTCTGGTCCTCTCCTCCTGACAGGCTGATGATAGAAGCGTCACATCCTGGGCCCGAATAAAATGCAAACTGACAAGAGACGAGGCTTTGGTGACTGAATATAATGCCGGATTGTGCCTCCGAGTGCCTTATTATCTTGTCTTGGGATGCTGGAGAGGAGGCGGGTCTCTTAGAAAAGAGTAGACAGCCACTGTACATACACACACACACACACAAGCCATCTCCTATTCTGTGAGTAAGAGCGAAAAAACAGGAGTTTGGCCTCCTAACCACTGCTTTTGCAGCTAATATACCTGACAATAAATAGGGACGGGGTTGTTGGGGATGTTTGCATGTGATAGCTGGAGTGAAACCTGGAGAAATTAGCTTTTTAAAAGGCGGGGGAGGTCGAAAAACACTGGGAATTGGAAGTGAGAGGAAGATGAAGGAGAAAGATGTTATTCTGAAGTCGACGGCCTTAAATTTAGTCATAATCTTGTTCCAAATGACACAAAAAAGGTTTAAAGCAGACAGTATAAACACGCGGTTGAGAACTAATCAGCCTCTTTTATCATAAACCCCACCTGAGCACGGCTGATGAATCGGTCAATGATTTTTAAGCACTTTTTGAATAAAAGCAGCTGGGTCTTAAATATTTTATAACCATTAAATTATATTTTTTTTTTACATTGTTTGTGTGAGTAGACAATGTTTTAATGTAAAACAAAATACACCTAAATAACTATATTAGATTTAGAAGATATTTATAAAGCACTTTTCTTTAATCAGCACCCTTTAAAAGTATACAATAAAGCTTACTTCCAAGTAAATGCAGTGGCATTCAGTTCAAATCTACTCCACCACATAAAAAAAAAAAAAGTTCGATCATCTATATATTTCACTCTCTCCATTGTCCACGCAACAAACTCTCATCATGTTTTCTTTGGGAGCTACGACAAAGAGTTAACATCTTTCCGTAAAGATTGACAAAACCCACAGAATGTTCTATCCACATCGCACAAAGAGAGGCCCATCATACTCCTGTAGAATAGACCCCCACCCCCTTCAACATTTGAAAGCAAAAGTCAAGGCCGGTCTTTTGCGTTTGTGCAAAAATTAGACTGCACATTTGTCCATACATGCACAAGTGATTCTTTGATGAAAAACACTTAGGCGACGTTCTTGTTATCATCACCTACACTCAATCGGTGTTGAAAATCAGCCTAGGAAAGGGATGAAAAGAAGTCTTTTAATTTCCCCATTCTCTTGGTCAGATCTTTTCAAACAGGGGAGGCAAAAGCTCACTCAATGCCGCGGATCAATTTGTCGAGAATCAATTGAGTCGGTAGACATATGTATTGCACTTCTGTGACCTTTAAACGAACAGAACCTCCTTTGAGGGCAGCAGAAGATGATTTAATCAAACAATGTCTAGCCGTAGAAAAGAAATTACTTCAGTATAAATCCTCTTACGGAGGTGATAGGAAAAATACTGCCTCTTGAATGTTCAATATGAAGCTTTAAATTGAGATTGTAAGCATTTAGAATATAGATGCAGATAATGTAAATGCACCAAGCTTTACTGCATAACCCTAACCCTAACCCAAATGCTAAATGGACCAAGTAAATGCATCAAGTTTAGTGCATTTTTAACTTAAAACACACATTATGGTTCAAATTGATTCTAATGTTTTATTTTAATGTACTTTTTAATGATTTTAATTATTTCAAATACTGTTTCTTATTTATAATATATATATATATATATATATACAAATAATTATTTAATTCTAATTAATGTAATTATTTAATTAAATATTTTTATGTATTTTTTATTATTTTAATTATTTAAGTTGTGTCTTTGCTTTCAATATAATAAAATATTTTTTTAAAGATACATCTTTAAAAAAATATGCACACACACACACACACACACAAACATATATGATGACGAAATTTAAGAAACATTTAACAAGAACAAAGAAAAAAACATTAACAATACGTGAAAATAAGTGCCTGTAAATTATTTTTAATAGAAATAATGTAACGAAATAGAAAATTATTTACTTCTGTATTATCTTACACAGAGATGATATTTTAAAATGTTGTGAATAAAAGCATGTATATTTCATACATTTCTAAAAATGTATTGTTTGGATTTTAATGTAGGTATAAAAGGCCCTCTGATAGCATTAAAAGTTTATTATGATCAGGTAAGTGGCAGGGGATCAAAATCTTTTATCATTAATGTAATGCTGTTAGTTCTAACATAGAGAGCGATAGAAAAGCTCCCTACGGGCATCAGTCAAACTATGAACACAGACAAGAGGAAGATGCAGTCACAGCTACTGAATATCAAACCTGAAGCACAGAATCAAGCCTGACTGCCTGACTTCATTGCGTATATACTGAAATAATAAGCTTTAGAAATATTTATGTGATGAATTGCCACAGGAATGAATGCATATAACAGCAGAACACATTCGAGGCTGAGTGCAAACACTTCTAAAGCATTTAAGTGTTCTGAGAGGGTCACTTTATTAGGCTGGATTTTCAATAAATAAGTTATTCTTCACTCCTTTTTATGCATGTGGTCTTTTAAATTTATTTGAAACATTGTACTGCATCTCTGAGAACATGACGACTCTCTTTTACTAATGTAATTTTATGTGCATGTTCACACTTGTGTTTCTACGTTCTGTCATAAAAAGACGATTATTTAATAAGAATAAACTGTTCTGAATTCAGTATTATGCACATAAAATGAAATATAAGCACAACAGAAAAATGGGGATTCTTTTATAAGGTAGAAGATTATAGAGCAGAAAAGACATGCTAGAAAAACAAAAAGTTATAAAAATCTTATGTGGTGTGTGTTACTATAGGAAATAAAATACAGGTGAAAAATAAATTTAAAAGTGATGTTTGGAGTCTATAAACTCAATAGCAGGAATCTGAGCTGAGACAATTGCAGGCTGTTTCTGACTTCTATTCAAATTGAAAAATGAAATTCTGTCTGAAAGAAGCCAGCGGCACAGTTACACAAGTCTTAAAGTATATCATTAATGTTGCAAATTTGACAACCACAGCAAACAGTCCGTCAATGCATGCTGAATCCAAATGGTCTGAAACTTGTCTTTTCACATACTATATCACTGCAGAGCAGTTTAAGGATTTCTTGGATCTCTTCCTGTTAAACAAGGTCAGAGCAATCATTCTGACTGCAAGGAACATCACATTTTAACATAACACAGAAGAACACTATTTTAGGATGTTAATTAAATTCAGCATTTTAAGATTTTTAAATATATTTTGTGCCAGTGCTTATATAATATGCCAAAATTCGATAAAGTATGCTCAGTACTCAGAAAAGATAAAGCATGATTAAAGAGCCTGTTTAATGATCAAAAGAATTTTTAAATGTTTTAAAATTAAACTTCATCTATAGCATTCTGGAATATTAATGATATAATTAGAATATATTATAATCATAATATTCAACATTAATATAATTTTATAATAATCAACATTAATATAAAATTACACACACACACACACACACACACATATACACATATATATATATATATATATATATAAATGCATAGGACAACTTTTAAAAAGTAAAGAATAAGAAGAAATCTGAATAATAAATAAAGAATAATAAAAATAAATAATGATAATAATAATATTGAATGTGTTGTTTTATTATTATTACTACAACATCAAGTGTCTTTTAAAGAGATTCAGGGTATATGCTGCTCCTCATCAAGAATGTACAATTCAGTCTGCTTAGATCTGAACTCCTCATGAGGCCGTGGAGCCACAACAATCACATTTCTCTCCCTCAGGCCTCTTCACTTTCTCTCATTTTATCTTCAGCCTAAGCCGAGGAGATCTCAAATGTGAAGAAATGTCACCCTGCATGACAGATGAGTGTGTGTGTGTGTGTGTGTGTGTGTGTACATTATATGTCTCCTGTTGCCTATTTGCCCCAGATTCTGTAACATTTTTCTGCTTTATGAACACCAACAAAAAAAAAACCAGTCCCCACATACTGCATGGCTGCACCCCACCAGCGTCACAGGAAAAGGACACTTCCTCCACAAGCTTTCCACAGTGGAAATTTGATAGATTAGCAGTTAAAATGCATTTTGAAATGCACAGGGTAAACTTGGAGAAGAACTTTTCAGACATTTAAACTCTATAGAAACCCAACTTAAATCTAAGGAATATATATCTCAATACTGCATTCATATGGGCCATAATTTGAGGTCACTCCGCATTTAAAGTAAGAGTAAGAGGCACAAATACCTTCAATCTTCAACTTCACGACCCCAGATCCACCTACATGTGAACCACAACTTTTACCTGCTCTGATCCAGTACTTTTTTACCACAGCATCTAGCAAACACAAACAAACAAACACACTCTCTCCGGTGTTAAGTTCCCCCGCGCATGACCCCGGGTGTCATGCACAATAACGAGGTGAATGAAGGCTGGACTCACCATACATCTTCTCCTCCGAGTCTGTGTCAGTTGACAGCAGCAAGGGCTCCTCGTTGAGCTCGCTGTCCGGGCTGGCCGCTTTGTCGTCATCCCGCAGCTCGCAGGCGTCCATATCGGCACGCAGAGGGAGCAGCGGTTTGCTCAGCTGCCCTGTGATCATCGGATCCTGGAGGCGAGTGGAGGAAGGACCAGGTCGGGAGGACAATGAGGGGGGGGGGAGGCAAAAGAAGTGATGTTAGCTTTGGTGCGCACTGGTTCACTCTCTGTGGGTCTCATGCGCACACATGCCCGCTCATTTCCTCGCTTTCTCTCTCTCTCTCTGCTTTCTGAAACTCACCACCTCTTCTAACACTCTCTATGGTAGCGCTTGCTCTCTCTCTGTCTCTCTCTTTTCTGATGGCTGTTGCTGCTGGTTGTAGTGCTGAAGAGCTCTTGTGGATTTTAGTTAAAATGCTCCACTTGTCAAATGACTAATTTTCATGAGTATCACCAAGAGCCATCAGCATTAAAATAGAACACTTAAGTTACATATAAATGTGTCACATTTGTCAAGCAAAAAAAAAATTGTTTTGTTTTAATTAACAAACGTTTTTGTATTTAACAGTAAGAATGCAAATGAGAATTAAAATGTTGGTTTTTCAACCTTGGTTGTCAAGATTATATATATATATATATATATATATGCATGCATTAATACTTTAACTAAAACAATCATAAAACTGCTCTTTGGGTCATCAAATCTGATTGGATGAGAACATTCAGCGTGAATATTGAGAGAATATGTAAATTAAAGTTGAATGAAGTGGGCCATTACATTCTCAATGAAGTGCAGCTGATTCTTTCTCTAAGATATATACTCTAGTATTAATGTTTCAAATAAATTGCTTTAAATTAAACAATAAGAGACAGAATCAGAAGAATGATCAGCATGATCGTTTTATTTAAAGCATTTTATTTAAAGTATTTATTGTAGAGTTCTTCTAAAGAATATTACTTACACTTTTTGTATGATTTAAATACAATAAAATAATTAACTAAGTAATTTAAAAAATGTAATGAAGAAATGAGTTCAATAAATAAATAACAACAAATAATAGTTTTTTTTTAAATAAATTAAATTAAATTAATAGAAGCAAGAAAAAGTTATACAACAAGAAACTTACCAGAAGGGTGCTTCCAGATTAAAGAAATTTTCTGAAATTATCTGAAAAATATCTGAAAATATCTGAAATTTTATGCTCCAAAAATGTAACTTTGCTCAAATCCACGAGCAGTTAGAGCATGCCAGAGTGTTAGGTGAGATCAGTCAGTGCATGCTTGTCACAAAGCCCAAAAACTAGTGTGGATAACGCAGATACCTCAAGTGAACACTGCTGGTGCGAGCCTGGGATTGCCTCTGGAGACTTGCTCGAGATGTCACCTCTACTCTCTCTCTCTCTCTCGTGCGCTTCAGAAGTACCTCCCCCACCCCTTCTGATGGTGAGACACACGAACAAATGTGTAGACATACGGAGGGCAAAAAAGCTGCTTTTCTCTTTTTATGCTCCCTTATTTACAGAGTCGTTTCTGCCCAAATGAGACTGAGATGGGGGTCAGGTGATCCGTTTGGATCAAGCACCGTCACAGGGTTTCTGCCCCACTTCTCTTCCTCCTCTGGGTGGTCGATGAACGGCAGCCCGTGGGGCCTCTGTTAATGTGCTTACCAGACGGAGTGCATGAGAGTTTGATATGGCACATGATAATCTAGGAAAATGTTAATCAATAGGAATAGTTTAAGCTGTCATTCGCGATGCGGCCTGCTTGGTCAGTACTCATATGCTTTGCAACAATGTCTCTTGTGATCGCTTCACTGGAGTTTTTCTCAGTGCACTTATGCACAAGTGACTCACCAACGCATCAGTGTGCCCCTCTATTTCGGAACGGCGCTGAACGAGGGAGCTTCTAACACTGCATTCATTTAAAGCACAACATCCATCCATCCCTCCTCCCGTCCCTTCTCTCCCCTTTGAGCTGCCTGATAGGTCCAGTGGAGGGCAAAATTAATACCTAATTGAATTGTGAAGTCATCAAAATAATCAATACTTTTTTATTATTTATTCTTTACAGTCTGTTGACTGAACGAGAGCTGTGAGAGGCCGAGGGAGAGTGAGAGAGAGAGAGAGGGGGGTGGGGGGGAGTCGACAGGCCTGAGAGGATGCAATACAAAGTAATTTTCACCATAGGCTGCTGGAGAAGAGAGGGTACAATAAAACAGAAGGAAAAATTACAAGAAAAAGAATGAGGGAAGAGAGAATGGGAATTTTTCCACAAGTTATAACCAGATTTCAACATTTCTATAGAGTGGATGCCAGGGTGTTGCTATTTAGTTGCTAAGGTGTGTAAAGGTGATGATGCTCGGGACAACTTTTTTGAGCAATGTTGCTTGGGCACTTTCCTATTGAGAATGGGCAACAAATCTCTATCTGGATACTTTAGATCGGTCATGGGCCCTGTGTCTCACCTGGTTGCCCGTTGACAGCAACATTGCTCAAAAAGTTACCCTGTGATCATCAGCCTAAGGTCTGAAAGGTTAGTTCTTGGTAGTTGCTAGGTGGTTGCTAATTGTTAAATTTTTTAATAATTTAATATACTCTACTGTCCAAAGGAAATATTATTTTTTTAAAGAAATTATTATTTTTATTTAGCAAGGACACACAAATTGTTCTTTTGAACTTTCAATTCATGAAAATATACTGTAAAAAATGCATCAAGGTTTCCACATAAATATTAAGCAGTACAACTCTTTTCAACATTGATAATAATAAGAAATGTTTCTTTGAAAAAGCAAATCAGCGTATTAAAAGGATTTCTGAAGGATCACGTGACACTGAATCCTGGAGTAAAGGCTTTACCATTACAGAAATAAATGACATTTTAAAATATATTAAAATAGAAAACAGTTATTTTAAATACTATTTCACAGTTTTAGAGTTTTTACATTACTTTTGATCAAATACATACAGCCATGGTGAGCAAAAGAGACTTACATTTACATTTAACCATTTAGCAGACGCATTTATCCAAAGCGACTTACAAAAACGACTTTTTTCAAAAACAATTTAAAAATCTTACCAAACAGTAGTGATTTTACATTTAATCTTTTAATATTAAAATTTCACTTTAAACATTTGTTATTGTTTTTGTGCACTATTTACTGGTGCCAGTACAAATCAAATTAAAGCAGTGACATTCTTCTGTTATTTTTTTTCTCAAAAAGAAAATAGTATCATAATATAAACCATCCAACATCAAAGCGTCTATCTCAAAGTCCTGCCTTCTCTCGCTCACTTTTTCTCCCCAGTCTCTCTCTCTCACAGTTAATTACACTAATGAAACAGGGATTCCCAGGGCAGTTCTTCATGCCAAAGAGCATATGTGAAGGGACCTGGGGAGTGTGTGCGCGTGTCAATGTGTGTGTACCGTATGCGTGTGTGTTTGGGATCGCCTTACTCTCTCTCGGCCACACAGGAAGAGAAACAAGAAAAAGCACTCGAGCCCCTATCCCTCCCTTTCTCCTTTTGCCTACTCTGAGGGTCATTTCTAAACCTTTTCCCTCATAAGATATCCATGCTAATTGCTAATGGCCTTAGCTGCCAGGGTCTCTGCAGTCCCCCGGGGCCACAAAAAGTCTCAGAATGGTCCAAAGACCTCTGAATAGTCTTCTGATCACACATTCCATTTGCTATATATATATAAAAAGTATACTATTCTATACAATACTATACTATACTATATATTAAATATAAGTATATACTCTGAAAGTACACAAAGTACAAAAAAATATATATGTTTACGTAACATAGGGCTGCAACAACTAATTGATAAAATCACTGATTATCTTTAATGGAAATAATCAACACACAAATTTGATTAATGATTAATCACGTCTATTAATCGACTGATTACGCACTATATGCACAGAAAACATTTGCCAGTCACGTCACTTAAAAGCAGTCTTCTAACATTTCTATAGACAAAACGCATCTGGAAAACAGCACAGGATGCAGAGTGCGCGATCCAAGCTGTCCTAAACACAAAAAAAGCTTTATATCAAGCGTTTCAAACAAAAGCATATATTGTAGTTTAAAGTGGCTTGCCATTTCATGTGCTTTAACAGATATGAGTGCTCTTTAATGCATTTGAGACCCATTTTCCTCAGGGTATAACGCCAACCCATGCATGTGCGCCACACAGATGAAGCACAATAATTCTGTATAAAATACACATTTGTCTAAAACATTTCTTGTTAAACAATAAGGTTAAAATTCTACATGTAACAAGTATTAGTATTTTTATGAGAGCAGAAGGGAGTATTAACATAATTACCTTCAGATGAGTGAATGTGTCTGTTCCTTGAACGAGTTAACATTTATTGTTTTTGTTTATTATAATTTTTAATTTAGTGATTTTAAATGTAAGCAGTCAGTTGTTGTTGTTGTTTTTTTTTGGTTTAGAATGTTTGTTTGAACTATTTTTGCACAACGCATTGCACAGCTTACTGTACACAGATTCAGTCACTATAGCTTTCAAACAGCACATCTTTGAAGGACAACATATAAAGTAAGTTTTTTTTAAATGAATGTTTTATATTTTTTTTATTCAATTAATCAAAGAAATAATCAATGGATAGAAAAAGAAAGTGAAAGTGAAGTTAATTGATTATCAATATAATCTTTAGTTGCAGCCATAGATTAATATTAAATCATTCATTTATAATAAAGTTACTTTTCTGATTTTCATTATAAAAAGTGGGACACTTTAATAATCTTCATCATTATTATTTGTACATACTTCCATACAAGTTAAGGATGAACTAATGCTGCTTTTCTAGTAAGAGACAGATATGCCTATTATGACAAAAAAAAGTTGGTTATGTCTTTGTATTCCCCCATCTATATTTTACATAATATTTCAAATCAATTAATTTGCATAATTGCACAAAATCTCGTTATGTCCGTACAATTTAAATATTTATGTAGAATGACCTCTAATTGATTTTTATTTCCAGGAAAATTGATGCATGGCTGAATTTATGGTGCATTTGTCAAAGAAACAGCCGGTCTCTCTGTGATGCTGCTCAGATGAATCTACTTAATTGACTAGGATCAGAGAACAGTGAGAAAATGTGTCATAACCTATCAAAGATGAGTGCTGCAGAAAGCTGTGATGATTCCGACACTATCAGGACCCCCTCAGATAAATATAAAGAGCCAATGATTGTTCAGGAGAGTGAGTTTGTTTGCATGGGGTTTTTTTTCGCTTCTTTTTTTTAATTTTTTTTATTTTGTTACATCGATCTCAGAGCTGACCTTATGGTGCATCAAAGTCTACAGGAGCTAATCTGGCCTCTGTGTTACTAAAGATATAGTGTTCAAGACAGAAGAGGGAGGAAAGAGACAAAAAATACAGAGAAACTGATGGAAGTGGTATTCACATGTGTTAGTGAGAGAGATTAAAAAGAGGAAGTCCAAATACTCACAGAAGTATGTAGGCTACTCAAAGGTCTTCATCAGCATGCTTCCATGGTCGGTCACTGACGGAAACATTATCTGGACTCTCACTGGCTGCCAGACAGTGCAGGTCTCAGAGCATGTCTGTTGTCTGACACTGACAAATAGTTTTTAATACCTTGAATTTCCAGCATCTTCTGCCTAGCATACATAGAGGACAACAGACATCAGAGTGTACGAATACATACAGTTGCATGCGCATGCAAACATTATCAGTCAGTGGTAAAAATCTACTGTCTTGGTAACTATGCAAAGGTAAGCAACACTATTATTATTATTATTCATTAGGTGCATTGGGTTTTGACACAGACTTCACAAATCAGATTAATTTCTTAATTAATATAGATTTGTTTGGATATCTCACAACGAATGTGTAAACTATGCAGGGAACCCTGTCAGTATATATAATATTAAACATTATCAAGACAGTCCAAATTCATTTGCTGTTTATAGATAGATAGATAGATAGATAGATATATAGATAGATAGATAGATAGATAGACACTCAAAAACTGTTGTATAAAAACATTTAAATGATGATATAATTATGTGTCAGAGACATGATATATTTCGGTAAGCTGTACTGTTTCTTTCAACACACCTTTTCTGATGTTCATTCATGTTTATTTCGTGCTACAACT